ATAAATTTTTAAGTTACAAAAATTATTCAACACCATTGTTTTTTATTTAAATACTTTTTGGTCATAAACACTTTTATTGTATGTACAATTTTGTAGCGCAAAGATGATGAAAAATTTAATATGATGGAATTTTTTAAGACGATTTACTACTCAAAAAATAAAAGATGGTCAACACTTGAAACTCAAGCAGTCTATGTAAGAAATTTCAAATTAAAAGTTATAATTTTATTGTTATAGTATGGTTCTTTAAGTTAACCAAAATTTCAATTAAATGCTAGGAAAAAATGGTGGAGTTACAATCAGTTCCTACTGAAAAATGAACATAACCTAAAATTGTTGATGCTATAATGGATAAAGTGCTTGGTACTAGGTCTAGATACATTATAGGACTTAGACTCGGGCCTAAACCTAATTCTAAAACCTTATTTACAAGTGCTGTAGACTTAGAAGAAAGTTTTAAAAAGACACAGGAAAAACTTCAGCAATATAAGTCAACTTTTGAGTTTTTTTCAAGCTCAAATTGAAGCTATGATAAATGCTTTAATAGCTGCTACAATCCAAGTGCCCATCCCTCAATTTTCAGGTATATACTTGATTTTGTTGTGGTTGTGATGTTGCAAGCATTATATATCCAACTAGTAGTGCCTTTTGGTACATTGATTCTGTTGTGGTTGTTATGTTACAAGCATTATATATCTAAACTTATTATATATCTAAACTTTCTTTGATACCTAATTCAAAAGTGAGAATTGGTACTTTTTTTATCACTCAATTTTTGAAAATCATTTTATTTTTCTTTATTTGCTAAGTTTTTATAAAGTTTACTTGTCAATTTCAAAGTTACAAAAACTCCCACAATCATATTATAAATTTCACCTTCTAACAAGTTACAACGATATCTGTAAAAAGAAAACTTCATCTCTAAATTCTCTATCAAAGGGCCTTTGCCCAATTATTGTGATTTTTAATTTGATGTGGCAGCCTATGCTGTATTTGTGTGTTTCTACTTTATTTGTTTGCATGTTTATATCATCCAAATAATGATAAAACATTATTCTTATGATGCAAGATATATCAAAGTATGACAATGACATAGGCTCCTTGAAAGTAAGTATAATTGTAATTTTTTCATGATTTATCCAAATTTATTTAAAAAATAGGCTTTAGGTAATGGTGATTTCTTGTTTAAATATGAACTACCCATCTTTTGTCCATTTCTTATGATTAGTATCAACATTACAGATTGAGAAGTTTACTTGTCAATTTCTTGACAATACCTATTCTTTAATATAAGGTAAGGCTTTATTTAAAAATTTCATATGCATAAAATGGATTAGTTTGTTTTTTATATTAGTTTTGATCTTATTATGTGTACTGTGGTTTGTTTTGATATTTGTTATTGTTTATTTATTGCAGCTTCAAGTAACACAAACTCACCATCAACATAATCACCCTCGACCCAATATTTGGATTGAGAGCTTGAAAACAATATTTCCATGACTACGTATTTCATAATTATGACTCCTTGTTTTTTAAACAATATTATTTCTATATGATTTTAGGGTAGACTTTAAAGAATAAAACCAATTTAAATACTTGGTGGATTTGCAAGAACACTAAATTAAATTATTCCATGAAATGTTTTTATATATAAGATTTAATAACATTAATTATGTTACCAATACTTTGATGATTTATCTTTCGTCACTAATATATCAAATTTAGTTATTTATTTTGTAACGATTATAACCTTTAATGATATTTTTTTTATAAATAGCTAATGAAAATTAATGTCACAAAAAAAAATAAAGCATAATATGATGTTTGATTTTATTGTCACATTTGACGTTATCTTACAACCATTTGTGACGATAATTATGTTATCAATACTATGAAGATTTACCTTTCATCATTAATATATTAGATTTTATTATTTATTTTGTGACAATTATAACCTTCAATGACGTTCTTCTTTATAAATAGCTTATGAAAATTAACATCATATAAAAAAAAAAAGCATAAGATGACGTTTGATTTTATTGTCACGTTTGATATTATTTTATAATCATTCATGATGATAATTTTGTCACCAATATTGTGACGATTTATCTTTTGTCACTAATAAATAAGATTTTATCATTTATTTTGTGATGATTATAGCCTTTAATGATGTTTTTATTTATTAATAGCTTACATAACGTCATAAAAATTAACGCATAGGGTGATGTTTGATTTTATTGTCACAGTAGGCATTATCTTACAATCATTGGTGACGCTAATTTTGTTACTAGTATTATAATAATTTACCTTTTGTCACTAATATATCAAATTTTCTCTTTTTTTATGATGAATATAGCCTTCAATAACTTTTTTTTTTCATAAATAGCTGACAAAAACTAACGTTATAAAAAAAAATAAGGTGATGTTTTATTTTATTGTCACATTAGATTCACAATAGGTGACGATATTTTGTTATTGTCATATTAGACATTTAACGACGGTGTAAACATGACAAACGTCATGATGTTTAATTTTTTTATCATAGAATATATAGGGTAACAAAAAACAAATATTTAATGACATTATTCTATGCATTAGTAATGACCAAATTAGTTGTAGTGGGATTTGAAAGTCATCTAGAAGCAATCAAAGTATATAAGTTGAAAAAGGCTTGATATGACTTTAAATAGTTTCCTAGAGCTTAGTTTGGGTGATTGTCAAAGTGATGCTAACAATGGGATATAAGTAGAGTCAAGGAGATCATACACTGTTTATTAAGCACTCAAATTTAGGAAGAGTCACAATTTTATTAGTATATATTAATGATATAATTGCAACAGAAGATGATGGAAAAGAGAGAGAATCTTTAAAACAGTGTTTGGATAAGAAATTTAAGATAAAAGAGTTAGGGAGATTGAAGTATTTTCAAGGAATTGAGTAGCTCATTCACGGCATGGTATTTTCATCTCATAATAGAAATATGTGATGGATCTTTTGAAAAAAATTAGTAGCTCATATGTAAACCTGAAATACCTTTATAGATTCTAATCATAAATTTAAAAAAGCTAATGAAGATATTGCTGTAGATAAAGAGATGTACCAGAGATTAGTTAGAAGATTTATTTATCTCTCACATACTAGACCTAATATAGCATATGTTGTGAGTGTAGTAAGTCAATTTATGTATGGTCCTAAAAAAGTGCACCTACAGGCTGTCTACTATGTATTATATTATTTGAAGATTAATTCTGGGAGAGATATTTTGTTCAAAAAAAATTCAAGACTAGTTCTACAGGCATATACAGATGCATATTATGCAGGTTCGATAACTGATAAAAAATTCACATAGGTTGCTACACTTTTTTAGGTGGTAATTTTGTGACATAGATGAGTAACAAATAGCATATGGTAGCAAGATCAAGTGCTAAAGTAGAGTTCAGAGCAATGGCTCAAGGAATTTGTGAACTACTATGTTAAAGATTATCCTAAAAGACTTGAAGATTAAGTGGAATGGACCAATGAGACTATATTATGATAGTAAGTCTGCAATAAGCATTGCACTTAATCATGTGCAACATGATAGAATAAAACACATTGAAGTAGAATGACACTTCATAAAAGAGAAACTAGAAAGTGAGTTGATTTGTACACCGTATGCATCAATCAATAGTCAATTTACAGATGTGTTGGCTAAAGGTCTCAGCAATACAATATTTTACGAAATTATTTTCAAGTTCACCAGCTTAAAGAGGAATACAAGAAAGCATTTATTTATAGCTGATTGTAATCTTATAATCTATTTATTTATTTTTGCATATCTAGATTTAAGTATTTATATTCCTAAAATCTCTAAAATTAAGTACTTGTATCCCTAGAATCAAGGATAAAAAATTAGGATAGATGATCCTTCAATTATGGGATCAGTTTTAGAAAATTTTAATTTTTTAGTTTATCCACTAGTTAGTTCCTAAAGTGCTTGTATAATTCTTAGAAGCAAATTTTGAATATATATTCAGTTTTACTCTTAGTTTTCTACATTGATAAATTTTTTCAGTTTTTCCACAATTTTCTATTAGTTGCAATTAAATTATTAGATTGCTATATCCTATTATTAAAATAGTTGAATTCACTTATGCAATTAGTAGATTATAAATAAAATTAAGTGAATAGATTTTTCTAAGAGGGAAAGACAAATGGTAAGTTCGTGGGATGAAATTTGTGAAATTCCTTATTAAAATTGATTAAATAAAAATTTAAATAAAAAATAAAAATTGATAGATTGAAAATTCTTATTACATAGATCAAGTATATATATTTTAAAAAATTTAAAAAATTTTGATATTTTTTTATATAGACATTTTTAATAAAAATTTTAACAAAATTTTTACTATTAAATAAGTACCGATCAAATTTAATTATAAATAACATTTTCAATAAATTTTTTTATATATTATTAATCTTATCATTAAACTTTATCAATTTATTAGTTTAAATTTTTACTAAAATTTTTATTAAATTATTTTTGATAAAAAATTTCCCAAACTTCATTTAAAGAATTTCAAATAAAATTTTTCTTTACAAAGAACATTAATTTATTGCTCTACTGTTTCTTTTTCCAATTTTTTAGTTTGGTTTGTTTAATTGATGACTTATGTTTAGTTTTTCTACAAAGCAGTTTATAGTTTTGGAAATAAAAGAAAATATTATAAGTTCTAAGATTTAGAATCTAAATTTATTAAATACCATCTTATTATATGAATGAATTGAGTTAAATTTCGTATTAAGGTTAACTTACTAATTCCTACTTTCTGAAACCTCAATTCTTTTTTTTTTTTTTTTGAACAGTTTAACTAACCCGGCATGCTATTATTTAGTATTACAATACGATAGCCTTTCTACAACGATGCTTATTCATTCCTTCCAGTTATCAAAGTTATAGACATACAAATAGCACTTTGATTCATTATTACAGGTGATTAATTTAATTTTTTGGTCGCAACTCAACAGACACAAAAGGCGAAGAGTGAGGTTCCAGCAGTGAAGTTTGGATTGAAGGCTCCAAGACTAACGCTGTATCCATGGCCTACGTAAATGCACCCATTGCTAACTGACATGCCACCATAAACAGTGGCCCCTGTGTTATATGACCATAAGATTTTTCCAGTATTAGTATCCATTGCATATATTGGTCCTTGACTGTTTGTTGAACCACCAAAGAGGATCCCGTTTGCCACGGTTACAGGGCCATTGGCAGTACCATTGGAAGGGTCGCCCGTTGACCAGAGGATTTGGCCACTATTAGCATCCATTGCCACCCATCCACCGGTAGTCGTGTTTCTTGTGGATGGCTTCAGAGTGAAATTCTCGCCATCAGAGTTGGCTATGTTGGTGTAGACCCTCCTTTCATCTGTGGCTGCTCCCCATGTTCCTCCTCCGGCGAGGCCACCAGGTCCAGCTTCCTACATTTCCAATTGCTAATTTAATCATTGTTTTCACTACCAAATTGATTGAATTTTTGCTATAGGTAACTTGATACAGAAGAAGGGGTCAGATATCTTACCGTAGACCATAAAATATTGCCATCATCACGATCTAAAGCCCAAGCAAATCCACTTTTTTGAACAGCAACAACAACGTCCCGCTTGGTTTCATTGACATAAATGCTTAGAATCATTGGTGCTTCTCCAAAATCAGCATCAGAGTTCGGGCCAGGAGGACAATCTGGGGTTGACAGATTGTTACAGGCAAAAAACCAGACATCATAGCCCCCTAGCTGATGGTACCACTTGATGTTTCCTGTGTCCAAATCAAGGGCCAGGAATGATTCTGAGTGGTTATCAGACTCCACACACTCATCAGGATGAGTAGGTACTTTTGTTTGATTGTTCTGCCTCTCTTGGCAATCAGTTATACTTTTAGGTGCCGAGTAGAGGTTCCCTGTGGCAATATAGATGAGGTTCCTGCTGACATCAATTGCTGGACTGCTCCCCCATATTGCTGCTCCAGCATATTCTCCACGCTTGCCAAAATTGTCAGGCAGCATAAAGGTTTGCCACAAGATTTTCCCAGTTTGTGCATTTATTTTGACAAAGCTTCCTCTAAAGATGCAGCATTCTTCAACGCTGAGCTCTTCTTCTTGTGAAGATGTGCCAACATAGAAATTCCTAAGTTTAAATTGTTGGGAATATTGACTCAAATCCCATAAGAGATTTGTTAGAGATTTGTTTGAGATTTGTCAGATATTGCTTGATGGACAAGAAGACTTGCAAAAGAAGAATTCCAAAAGAAAGAGGATTCTTAATAGGTAAGTTTAACTTGCAAGAGAAGAATTCTAAAAAGAAAAGATTCTTAATAGGCAAGTTTGACTTACAGGAGAAGAATTATAAGAGGAGAGGGATTCTTAATGGGCAAGTTTGTATGGTTATAAATAGGTGAAGTCTCTACAGGGTTAGGTATGAGAAAAAGATGTAAGAGAGTTGTAGGGTTTTGTGGGATAGACACCCCATAGGAGTATTGGGGCTCTACGTCTTATGGGTGTGTATGTTTGTTTGTGAGTGGACTAGAGGAGATTGAGAGGGTGCACATAGGTATGATGTATGGGAGCATATGAGTATGCATTTGGTTATGTTGAAAGAGTGCACAAGGGTTTGGGTTTGTGTTTGTTTGGGTTGAGAATACTTTATAGGACTAGAGGAGATTGAGAATGTCTTATGAGTATTGATTGCTGAGTGAGGTTGATGATATGATGTATGTTTGTAATTCTCTACAACTAGTGGATCTTGTTTCTCATCCGTGGATGTAGGTCAGTTGGACCGAACCACGTTAAATTATTATCTTTTGTGTGTTTGATTTATTATTTGATTTCGCTTCCACTAGTGTGATTGGATTGGAGGCTTTTAGCCCAACAAATGGTATCAGAGCTGTGGTGTTCCCCAACAAATGGTATCAAAGCTGTGGTGTTTCTCAACAAGTGGTATCAGAGCTGAAGGTTTGAAAGGTGAGAAGAGTTGAAGATTCAAGATGTGAGAAGAGCCGATGGTTTGAGACATGAGAAGAGTTGACAGTTTGAGATATGAAAAGAGCTTGGTTTGAGATATGAGAAGAAGTAAGCTTAGAGGAGCTCGATTCAAGAGAAGAGTTCGAGTTCAAGTTTTGAGGATTGGCTTGTATGAAGCGTGAAGACACAAGAGAAGAGAAGATGATTGTAAGACTTCCATTGCAGGTGGAGCCAAGGATGTCTAGCATGAAGACAGATGATTGATGGAATTTGAGTCAAGGTGGAGATTGTTGAGAATATTGACTCAAATCCCATAAGAGATTTGTTAGAGATTTGTTTGAGATTTGTCAGATATTGCTTGATGGACAAGAAGACTTGCAAAAGAAGAATTTCAAAAGAAAGAGGATTCTTAATAGGTAAGTTTAACTTGCAAGAGAAAAATTCTAAAAAGAAAAGATTCTTAATAGGCAAGTTTGACTTACAGGAGAAGAATTATAAGAGGAGAGGGATTCTTAATGGGCAAGTTTGTATGGTTATAAATAGGTGAAGTCTCTACAGGGTTAGGTATGAGAAAAAGATGTAAGAGAGTTGTAGGGTTTTGTGGGATAGACACCCCATAGGAGTATTGGGGCTCTACGTCTTATGGGTGTGTATGTTTGTTTGTGAGTGGACTAGAGGAGATTGAGAGGGTGCACATAGGTATGATGTATGGGAGCATATGAGTATGCATTTGGTTATGTTGAAAGAGTGCACAAGGGTTTGGGTTTGTGTTTGTTTGGGTTGAGAATACTTTATAGGACTAGAGGAGATTGAGAATGTCTTATGAGTATTGATTGCTGAGTGAGGTTGATGATATGATGTATGTTTGTAATTCTCTACAACTAGTGGATCTTGTTTCTCATCCGTGGATGTAGGTCAGTTGGACCGAACCACGTTAAATTATTATCTTTTGTGTGTTTGATTTATTATTTGATTTCGCTTCCACTAGTGTGATTGGATTGGAGGCTTTTAGCCCAACATAAATAACATGAATGCAACATATTATTTACTAAATTATCAAAATATAAAGATACTTAGCAATGGTAGGTACATAAAAGGGAAGGTGAAACTGTCCAAAAACAAAAAAGACTAATCTGTACCAAGAAATTGGTAACCTAATGGTAGTTGAACAAAATAATTGGAGTGCAACCTTCTTACAGACATCCACACAACAAATGTCTCATGTCTAAATTCATGTCTTTTGTTTCATATTACTTGACTGTTGTGATTAACCTTAAAATTTTCAGGATTTGCAATATTGTTAGTGATTTTTAGATATTTAAGTTGCTACTGTTAGTGAAAAGGAGAAGGAACTCATTTTTCTATCCTCTTATTTGGTTGAAAGGAATGAATGAAAGGGAAAATTTTACTTTAGCATTCAAAATCATAGCTGGGTTCTCTGCCTTTCCACTTCTAAAGGAAGCTAACACTTTGAATTAACATCCGTGATCCATGTTATTTTAGTAGAAGTGCTAATCGGACGATGGTTTTGACTATTTCTTTCTCTTCTATTTTCTTTCCAACCAGAATTTTGGAAGGAGTATGCGGTTAGCCAAACTGAATAATAATAGATGCCCTACATTTGACTTTACAATTCTTTTCAACACCATCATCCTGGTATGCCGACCTTGTTGATTTAATATGCATTTCTGGTCTCTATTATCTGTGCCTTAAAAGTCAGAAATGATACAATTTGTAAACGATGCAGATCTCGAAGGCCAAGTTAAAAAGTCTATCTTGCAGGCCAAGTTAATTAACTACCAAGATGAGTTGATTTTTTATTGATGTATACACTAACATAAACTAATCTTTCAAGAAATCAAGCTTTGAAAGCCCTTATTTCAATAATAAATTGATCTCATGTTTCTATTTTAATTGCCAGGAATTTGCCGATGTCATCTGCCTAAACTTTTTCTTCTTAAAACCACAAAATTATGGAATCTAAGGGGATTCATACAGTTTAAACTCTTAGATCAAATGGAATGGCAAAGTATGATGATGATGATCAGGACACTTAAGCTTAGCCAATATGGACTTTGGAGTGACTGTGATATTTGAATGGAAAAGATATAATGAAGTTAAAATGACTGACCCCTTGAAATAAGTTCCCGACATGGTGATAACGCCTGATGGGTTTTTATCAAGCTGGGTTGTCCAGACAAGCTGCCCATTCGACTGCTTAACTGCAACAACATAAGCAGGTCCAGAGATCCCAATAATTAACAAATCATCTGCTATAGTTGGAGTTGTTCTTGACACTGTTACATTGACATTGGCTACAACTCTAGTAGAATTAATCCCAGTTAAGTGTTGCAAATTTTGCTTCCAAATAAGAGATCCATCCGATTCCTTGACAGCATAAAGATATCCATCCCAGCTAGGGAAATAAACTGTTCCATCAAAAATTGCTGGTGTTGCAGTAATATCTCTGCCTGCATTGAATTTCCACTTCAACCTCAGCCTGGAAACTGTTTCAGGACTTATCTTGGTTTCCTTGTCGGCGAATCTCCTGTTAAGTAGATTTCCACCATGGTTTAACCACTCCTGCACGTTCTTTTTGTTATCCTCCGTATCAGCAATCTTCCATTACCAAAAAACATTTATCAAAGATTGGATTCTCTTTGGCATGTAAAATATATAAATACAAATATATATATTTATATTTATATGTTCGTATATTTATCAAAGAGGCTTGAGACTTACATTTGAATCTGCAGAAGCTGTGGAAACCAGTAGAGAAAGAAGGCACAGGGAGAGAACAAACTCCATTGAAGTTGAATTTATGTTGTTTTAATCAAAATCTTTGAACCAGTTATTATTTATGGTGCGATGTTATGGGACCAGTGGGGATGAAAGGATTGATAATCTGATTTGCAAGCTTTTCAGTTATTTATTTATTCCTTTTTTTTTCATACAGAAAACGTGGAAATTTGACTTTATAACGTTGAAATTCTAAAATAAAACCCAAACAAAGAATATATATATATATATATATGTGGAAATTTGACTTTATAACGTTGAAATTCTAAAATAAAACCCAAACAAAGAATATATATATATATATATATATATATATATATATATATATGAAGGGAATGACTTTTGTGACAATTACTTGCATAAAGGGGAGAAGTCATTTCTTGTAAACTAATTTTTTTTTTTTTTTTTGAATCTCAAAATTCAGATTATTCGAATAAAGAATAATTTAATTTCCTAGAAAATATGCGTTTGAAGAACAATTCCTTAGTCATTTACCTTCATCATGATAATTTAAGGCTTTCATTGGCATTACCTTCATTTAGAAAAACTCAAAATAAAAACTGAAAAAGAACAGCTATCAGTCCATGACATGTTGCTAGAGTACTAGACTCTTAATTTTAATTATTAAGATTTAAGTCTTGATAGACTCAAGTATAAAAAACTAAAAAAGAACAGTTAGATTTGCTAATTATGAATAATTATTCAAATTAATTTGGTAGAAAGGAATGAATCTTATCTGTATCATGAACAAGCATAGGGCTTTGGTTAAGAATGATTCACCCTGCAATATACACATCAGAGCTTTATTGTAGGTCATAAAAAATTAAACATTGAGTCAAAACCATTCATCTTTTTTTTTTTTTTGCTTTTCTATGTCATTACTAATTACATACACATGCTAAATGGGATTTGAATCTTGGTTATAATTTGAGCATTTGTAATTAATTGATAATGTGAAAGCTTTGTATAACAAATAAGTTAGGGATAAAATCTAACCAACAACAGGATCTAAATTTGGATTTAAACATATTATATGTCTTGTTTACTTTCTAATTTTGAGGTCATCTTAATTAATTAAAACATTAAGACGCGTGATTTAATAAAGTCAACCTCTTATTATAGTTTCTCCATTTTTCCAATGCCTAGTTTTGAAACTCAACTTTTGATTTAATTATTTCATGTAAACATATTTAAAAAATAACATCTAATAAATTTAAAATTCAAATTTAAATACGTAGCAGACTATAACTTCTTTTTAAAAAAAGTCTTAGTCTTTAATAAAAAGCTCATGGCAAATACATAAAGAACACATTAATCGGAAGAACATAATTTAGGTTACAGTTGGTGGAAATTGAAATGAGATTGAATCTGTAGCTAGTTAATGAACACAGTATGCTACATATTGAGTATTACAAGGTGATTTCCTGTTATTACAAAATGCTGATTTTAGTTTCCGCTATCAGGATTTAGGAGTTCACAAATACGAGATAGAGAAATAAAGTTTTATTCATAATTATAAATGCCTTATTTATTGGTATTTATGGTATTTATCTTTCGAAAGAGGATCAAGAGATACAAAAGGCAAAGAGTGAGTTTCTAGTGAACCCCCTGGAGAACACTTTCAGTTAATTTAATGGAGAATAAGAAGATAATTATAAAGGGAAAATGACTAACCCCATGTAATAAGCTCCGGACATGGTGATAACTCCTTTTGAGTTGTTATCACGATGGTTTGACCAGACTAGTTGCCCATTTGATCGTTTAACTGCAACAATATAAGCAGGTCCACCGAGTCCAGAGATAAGCAAACATTCTGCTATCACTGGAGTTGTTCTTGACACTGTTATATTGACATTGATTATAGCTCAAGTAGAGTTAAGGCCAGTCAACTGTCGCAAATTTTTCTTCGAAACAAGTGATCCATTTGATGCTTCGCCACCGTAAAGATATCCATCCCAACTAGGGAAATAAAGGGTTCCACCAAAAATTGCTGGTGTTGTACTAATATCTCTGCCTGCATTAAATTTCCACTTCAACTGTAGCCTGGAAGCTGTTCCAGAGCTTATATTGGTTTCCTCGTCGGCGAATCTCCTGCTAAGCAAATTTCCACCATGGTTTAACCAGTCCCGAACATCCTGCTCGTTACCCGTAGGATAAGTTTTTATTCTTCTTGACATGTAACAAATGCTTATGTAAATATGTGCTTCTTTGAACCTGCAGCTGTCGAGTTCAGTAGAGAAACAAGACACTGGGAGTGACCAAGCTCCATTGAAGTTGAATTATTATGTTGATTTTTCAAATGATGGAACTGTTCTTTTATAGTTGTATCGTTTCATGGGACCATAGCAGGTTTAATTTATTGACAGACAACGTCGAACTTTGACTTTGTGATACAAATAGTAAAGTTGCTTCTGCATCGTGGAAGACTAATTGTGTTAAAATTGTTTTGTTTGGTCCTGCTTGCACACATCATTTGGTTTATTGCACTCATTTCTCCTTTTTTAGTGCAAAACTGGTTTTAATAGGCAACTGAAATGTTCAAAAGTTGATTAAGTCTAAACTTTAGAAAAGAAAAAACAGCCAAAAATTTAATTAAAAATTGCAGCTTCTCATAGGAGATTTAATTTGGCGCAATGCCTGATTCCACAAGTCAATGAAAGTTGTCCTGTAATGCTAAAATTCAACTGAACTGGAGCCATGGTTGGCTATGTGGTTTTGAGGCCTAATGCGAGGTAAATAGAGTTAGCTTTTGGTTTGGTACAACGTTATAAATATCAATATATCCATAAAATATAAGTACAAAAATACTAATTTCAACTTGCAATAAGTTAAATGGTATTGAAGAGATTTGATTTAGAATCCAAGAAAATTGAATTTATAATCTTAAAGAGTTCAAACTATAATTATATAATTTTATTTAAAACCTAAAATGAATAAATAATTAAATGATAGACTTTTTATATAATTATATCAATAATATATTATTAACAAAATTAATTAATATTGAATTTTTAAATTGAATTATAAAATAAATAAAATTAAAACATACAAAATATGAATATCTAATATTTCTGATATTATCCTTATTATATGCAAATTCAAACTTAACTCAAATGATACTTAAATTCAAGAAACAAGAAGCAACGAGCGAAACATTAAAAAGATAGAGTTCATGGTTTAGAGGTTTGAAGAATAACGAGAGAGAGAAACAGAGAGAGAGAGAGTCGGCAAATGCGAGAATGAAAGCTTAGAATGATAAGGGTTTTCTTTTTTGAGGCATTTGGTAATTGCCAAATTGACTCATTAGGCACTTGTTTATCAATATAATAATAAATTGAGTTGGGATGAATTTTTGTTTGTCTTAAATTTGATTCAATTTTATACTCATAATATCTAAATCCAACTTAATATTATGATTTTTTTATTTTTTTATATTTAATTTCAACCTAATATGATATTATATTCGATTCAATTTAAAATTAATAAAATATTATTTTTTTATAAAATATTATTTAGTAATATAAATATAAAATTAAATAAATATATAATATATATAATTAAATAATTAATTAAAAATAATTATATATAGGATAAAATCAAGATAAATTTACTTAAAATCTAACCTCCATCTTATCTGAAACTTGATTTAAAAAAAATTTAATCTTAAAAAATTGGATCGAATTAGAACTCCAAAATGAGTTGGGTTGCCATCCCTATTTGTTTGTTTTTTTTTCGCTTTTCATATGCGGCTGCGTCTATCCCAACTCACACCCAATTTTGGCAAAGGCTGTGTGCCAGAACATTAGCCTGTCTCCTAGCGAATACAGTGACAACTTACAACAAGAGGATATGTCAAGGATATCCAAAATCAAATTCCCACCCTCTCACAGACTTATTAGTCTCGCATATACAAGAGAATGAATCACTCTCAATAACTGGATGAAGGCTATCCTAGTACCAAAAAGATTAGCAAAAACCTCAGCATAAAGGCTGCTGCTCATTAAAATTAAAGTTCATACAAAATTATTAATTAAATTATTAAAATATTATTGAGAAAGAGTAATACATAATGTGGTAAGTTTATATGTTTGAATTTTTTTTTATTTTTTTATGATAAATATACATTTATATGTTTAATGATTGTAATGGTTGATTTATTTTACTATAATATTTCTAATGACTTTATGTAATCACGTCTTAACGTTACAATAACTAAATGAATATTTGCTTTATAAACATAATCTCCTGTATATGTGAATTGTTACTAAACTTAGATTTTATTTGGTTTTCTATCGATTGATTCTATATTACATCCAAGTTAATTTCAGTTAATTCTTATTTTTTATTTTTAAGTTTAAATATTTTTTATTTAAGATATTTTTATGAAATCATAATCAATATTGTTAAGAAATATTAATCTTGAAGAAGAGAAATTATTTGATATAATGTTAGTTGAGTTTTTTTTTTTAATTTCACAAGTGAGGTAAAACATTAACACATCACTCACTTATTTTTTCAATTAGGTTTTTTTTTTTTTTTCTAATATCACTCATTTTTTCAATTAGTCTTTTTTAATATACTTTAAAGCTTAAAGGGTATGTGTGTTAAGTTACTAATTTCAATTGTGAAATTTTGAAAACTTTACTATCAATATATTTTATAATTTTCCCTTAAATAATATAAATTTATTTTTTTCAATTAAGAATGCTCTAGAATATTTGTGTATTTTGATAGTGAAAAATATTTTAATCACATGATTAATTATATGCATTTTGTTGAATGATCAAAGCTTTGTTAGTTTTGTAACCAATTATTATATTCTTTGAATCAATAATGTTATAGTTTATTTTCTGTTATTTGTTTATATTCTTTAAGTATATGATTATTATTTGGTACTCTTATCATGAAAGCATCTATTTAATAATTATTTGTACTTTATGAGTGTGTTTATTATAGATAAATACATGTATCATCTATGACATCTACATATAAAAGTATGAACTCTAAAT